CTACAGAAATCGGTGCCTGTGAGTGGGATTGACACTACCTGACCATGTGGTCTAGCTAATACATTTGGAAATGGTTTGAGGCAAGAGTTTGGAAAAGTCTGGAGATGCTGTCTGGAAAAACAGCCATTGAATATTGTAAGCTGACCCCCCTGATGGTAGATTCTATTTTTACAGGGATGCAGAATGTAAGGGTTGCAGGGCTATGGATGTATTTACCTACATTTCAGAAGACCTGGAAGCCCATGCAGTGTATCCATGAGACAGCAGAGCATGAAGCTGTGAGAGAGAAGCCAAAGCACAATGACAACCTCAGGGAGTTGGAGGTGTAAAATATGTGGAATATCTGCTGAGGAAAACTAAAAGGAGGAAGCAAGGCCAGCCCAAGAGAGAAGCCATGAAGGCTACAATCAATGGCAGTGCATTCAGGGTGGGGCCACATAAGATGTCTGGAGTTTGAGTCTCATTGTAACTTTCCTTGAGTCCTGGACGCAGAGGGACAGGATTTAATGTTTGCTCTGCTGAGTTTCAGTCTTGAGTTCGGTATCATTCTTTCTGTCACCCTATTACTCCCTTTTGGAATAAGAATATTTAACCTGTGCCATTAAATGTTGGCAATGTTTCATTTTCTTTATTATTCTTATAGTGGCTCACAGATAAGAGTTTGCCTTAAGCCTCAGAGGAGACTTTAGACTTTGACTTTTCCACAGTATTGAAACTGTTAAAAGTCTCTGGCTACTACTGATATGGACTAAATGTATTTTTCAAAAAGCGATGTGCATGAGTCTTTTCGGGACTAGGAGTGGAAAGTTTTGGTTAATGTCTAGTTGTCCCCCAAGAGCCTCACATGTTCATAGGCAGGACCTTTGGGAGAATAAGTCAATTACAGGGGCTTATAGATGACTTGGACTCAGGTTGGAAGAGGTAGATACCTGGGAGCATGACCAGGAAAGATTTATCTTCTTCCCCAGCTACCCCTTGACTTACTGCTTCCTGTCCACCAAAGCAGCTAGTTCCCACCACGCCCCTCTGCCATGCCATCCTACCTTGGAGCCAGCTAAATATAGACCAACATGTGAACCACAGTAAGCCTCCCCTTCCTTAAATTGTGGGTGTTGAGGATTCTGCCCCAGCAATGAAGAGAGTGACTGAGACAAGGAGAAAAGGCATGTGCTCAGGGAACACAGTCCTTCATCTCTTTATGCTTTTATTACCACATTGCTGCAGGAGCTACAATCTCTCTGTATATATGGTTCTTGCAGAAGTGGCCTCTTCAGAGCTCCAGCTCTCACTGAGTTCCAGCAAACCTTTTCCATTCCTTGTCCCTTCAGAGGTTGAGTGACACTGGCTTTTGGTTACTCTGAGATTCTAAGAGCCCCTATATACCTTATCTGTCCTTAACACTGCCTATAAATCTACAAATAGTCCTTGCACTAAAATATAACTTCAGCCAGTAGAAAGAATTCTGATTATCAGGATGATGACTGACACAGGCATATAATAGAAACTAAACGTAGAATGGAAGACAAGCATAAAAATATTAAGTGGGCTTCTAAAATCTAAGAATTTGATAGAATTGTTGAATAGTATAATAATGCTCCTCCATCACTGCTATGATTTGGATATGGTATGAACCAAGGGTTCATGAGCTAGAAGCTTTGTTCTCAATATGTAGTCAGATGATTAAGTGGGCCTACTGGAAGAATGATAGGTTACTGGAGGTACTACACACAACTCCTAGGACTTTGAGTTAATTCTCACCACTCAACAGCCTCTCTGGCTTCCTGTCTGGCCACATCATCACTTTGTCTTGCTTTTTTTCGCTACTGTGACATCATCCATTGGAAGGCTTGTACCAGAATTAAGCTGACACTGATACCTGGCCTCTAAACCTCAAAAACTGTGAGCTAAGAAACCTCTTTCTTTATAAAGTTACCATACTAAAAATATTTCATTACAGCAATGGGGAAACTGGGAGGTCTCAACACTATAACCTACACATTCAAGATTAATCTTTTCCACAAAAGTATAAATTATTTCATACTCTCTTAAAACCTGTCGTCATATTTCTGATTTACCACTTAAAATCCTTAAGTTTTTCATTCTTCTTATAAAACATGTTAACTTCTATTGCTCATCTCTTATATTTTTTTCAAAATGTTGGCCAACCAAATAGTAAATGATTCACTTGATGCTTTTCTGGATATTGCAATTAAGTCTACTAGTCCATACCTCTTAGAACTTCATTGTTTTGGGGTTTTTGTTGTTGTTGTTGTTGTTGTTGTTGTTGTTTTTTTTTTAAAGTACATTAACCTATCTCTAGTTTTCGGCCACCAGTCCATTCTATGACTTCTCCAAGATGCCCAGCTATGAAGAGGATAATTATATCTCCAAATTTCTCACTGATCTGAAGGTTCTGTCAGATTGAAAGTCTGGTATAAGAAAGATAAACCCTTGAATTCAAGTTCACTTTGCTTTAGTTTTAACATAATTATCAGCTTGTATCATTTTTTCCTTTGTTTGATTTATTTATATCATCACTTCTGTTTTCCTCCCTTCCAACTTCTCTATTTGTCTATAAATCAATATCCTCTGCATTCTCTATGGTCGCTTGAGATTTGGCATCTTTTCTCCTCACTGGACTATAAAAACTCAGAATACCACTCTGCTTTACTTGCCATCAACTCTTGATTTACAGCCATTTAAAGTTTCTGTCATATCTTGCCTCATAGCCAAAAAAAAAAAAATGTTTTAGTAAGAGAAAAATGTTCCTTTTTATCCAAAACAATCTGTAGCAAAGCCATCCTTTGCACACATGAGTGCGCGTACACACACACACACACACACACACACGCAGATGAACTTGCCATGTATTTGTTAACATATTGTGGAAAGAAAAGGAATAATAAGATAAAGTTCTGAATCTTTGAAAAGCTTCTGGAAGGGGTCACCAAGTATATATCTACAAAGTAAGGATAAATTGACTACAGATGTGAAGTGACAATCTTCACACACTGAAAGAAAATATCAGGCAGCCCTATGGGATAGTCTGGATGGTGGTAGAGTTCCAGACAGAAGAATAGGCCAAATGGAGGAGATGCTTCAAATTTGCCTAACTATGGTTACTAATCAGAAATTTTTACTAAATGGAAGCAGGTGCATAATTTTAAATTTTCCACCCATAGTATTATTTTCAGACTTTAGTCACTGATAGAACTTTCATCTATGTAGCCAGCTTCCATTGAGGTGGTTCTTTCTCTAAGCTACTAATAAACGCAGTTAACACGAACAAGCAGCATGGATCCAGTGTGAGATCGGAAACTTACACAGTTTTGCAAGCCATCTTTTAAAAACAGAAAATTACCAACAAAAACTTACGAAGAAAAATAGTTTTATTTGAATGAGAAAAGAAGTCTCAGCTTTGGCATGGAGACGCGGATTTTTTATTCTGAAACAACTTTAGGCCACCAACCAGGACATCCACTAGGAATGTTTCTGGTTACAACCTGTCATTCGTTTTCCACCTGGAACTTCTACACTACAGCAATGCCTACCACTCACACAGGCCTGAGAAAATAAACAGCTCTGTGGCTTCCGTTTCATTAGCTTTGCCATTGATCCCCTTTACCAGCAAAGTCTCATAACACAGCGACTGAAGAGCCAGCTAGGACACTTAGAATCTTAGGAAAGAGACCACCTGACAAGTTTAAAGGATCCCAGATGATTTTGATACCCAACTGCTGGAGCTCCTGACATTGTCCTCCAACTTCATCCCAAAGTTGTAGGTCACCAGTGTGTAGCCACAAACCTGACTTAATGGACAATGTGAAATAGGAAAGTATAGTTAAAAAAAAAAAAAGAAGAAGAAGAAAAAATCAACAGGCCAATTGTCCTTGATATGAATTTCAAGCATGTGTGGAATACAGAAAGGTAGTATTAGCCTTTTATAACTAATCATAAAATAATTCCATTGCTTTATAATTTAAACAAATGGAAAAGTCAACCGCACAAATCAGTGATGCTGTCTAGAATACAGCTGGGCCTACTATTACACTAAATCCAAAAGGGGGAAATAAGTTTTAAATATGTCTCTTTGAAGTCAGAGTGCATTGACTTCTAACTTTTGTTTGCTCTTCCCAAATAAAGACATGGTTAAGTAGGCTGGCAGCTTGAACTACCATCTCAAAGTAACATTTAAGTTGCACAGACTTCTTGGTAATGAATAGTGTTCCGATCTGAACTCAGGTCTCCTATTAGCAACTTGTGAAACTGGAGTGACATACATTCGCGCCACAAGGTATTGGGTTTTTTCTTTCAAATCCTTAAATTACAACTATTCCAGTTTCCACACACTGGAAGTCTACCACCCCACCCTAGTCCATTTCCTCCAATTACACTTCAAACCAGGATGAGCCTCAGGTCCCAAATTTCAGGAGGAGAGGGAGGAGAAAAGGGAAAGCTGCAGGCTGTGGGCTGGATGGCAGCAGCTGACCATCTGAAAATTCTTAACTCTGCAGCTTCCTGTCAGACACACGACCGCATTCTCCTGGTACCTATTCCCTCTGGATTTGAGACTCACTTTGAGCGTCACACAACTCTCAGATCCACAACCGCCAACACTAAATCAAAAACAAATTCTCTAAAAGCGGCTGATTCGTCCCAGAGTCCAGAGTCGGCCACGCCCGGAAAAAAAAAAAAAAAAAGCCAGCGGGGGGTGGGGTGGGGGCGCTGGGGAGAGTCGCGGGGAGATGCCAGTGTCAGGGGAAAACAATCTCAACTTTACAGACTCCGCGAAGCCAAGGCCTTCTCAAGCCGAAGGTCAAAGTACGGAGGAGGGAGCGGCTGCGGCTGAGAATCCCGCCGCGAGCGGCGCGGGCTACGGGGCCAGGCGCCCGCCAGTCAGCAGCTCCGGGACCGCCGCGCCGCCGCGCCGAGGAGGCGGTGGCAACTCCGGAGTTGCCCGGGAACTTTCCCGGGACGCGCCGCCGCCGCCGCGCCCTCACCTTACTGAACACCTCCAGGTCGTCCTCGTCCTCGTCCAGATCCAGCACGTCGGCCGGCAGCAGGGCGGGCGAGCAGCTGCCGGCCGGCAGAGGGACGCTGCCTCCGGGGCTCTCCGCGCCGTCGCCCCCGGCCGGGAGGTCGGAGGAGCGCGCCCGAGATGCCCGGCGCTCGCCCTCCATCCCGAGAGTGAGCCCGGCCCGCCGCCGCCGCCCGCCGGCTCCCCCGAGCGCGCCCATTGGCTCCCGCGCCGCCCGCACCTCCCAGGCCGGCCCCGCTCCAGCCCTCGCCGCCGCGCAGACGCGGAACCGCCGGGACGCGCGCCCGGCCGGGCGGGCAGGGCCGCCGCCTGGACGCAGCCCCACCTGGCCGCGCTCCGGCCCGGGGCGCCCGAGTCGGGCGCCGGGATCGCAGGGAGCGAGGGCGGAGGGCCGGGGCCCCGCGGGCCACTCGTCTCCGGGCGAGAGGCGGGCATCCTCGCGCCGAGCCAGGCCTGGGCCACTCAGCCAGGTATTCGGCCGCCACCGGGTCTGGGAAGAAGCCACAGAATGAGCCATGGGTCTCCAGGGATCCAGGTGGCAGAAATCAAAACTGATTCTTGCTTTTCTTCCAGGTTGGAGTTTCCAGTCTGTCTTTTCCTAAGGCTGCTGCAAAAAAATAGAGGACGTGGAAACCTCTCTATTTGTGATTGATTTTCGACCCAGTGACTGGACTGGACTTTGCGGTCAAACCAGGAAACTTGAGATTTTCAAAACGATCTTCAGCCGCTTTCCAACAAATCTTTACTCCTGGAAGTCTTCCTGAAGTTAATGAGCAAGAATGTTTCTGAGCGCCAAGGACAGCTAGCAAGACTGCCCGTTGCCACCGAGAAATAATTTTCAGTCCTTGCACTACCAAGGCAAAGCTGTAATTACTTAGCTGCTTGTTCTTTGCTTATTATTTTTTTCTGAAAATTCCAAAACTAGTGGAAAATTGAATGCAAATTGATCTATTTTTTAACTATCTTCTTATGTTATTTTTCCTCTCAGCCTCACCTCTTTTCTTCTGTAGACCTTAATTAAAATTTTTATGTGTAACAATTCCCTATTGGGGGACTAAAAGATATTTTCATTTCTGATTACAAAAAAAAGCTTCGGTATAGTCCCTCTTAACTAATCAGATGGACCTTTTGCACATGACCGCTCTTGGCATCCTGGCATCGTCCTCCAACTAATCAGATGTACCTCCCTCTTAACTAATAAGATGTACCTCCTTTCAAGACAAGTACTCACCTCACAGGCAAGTTGATCACTGTCCAGTGTTTATATAGAATTGTATATGCTTCCTCTACCCCAAATGGCCTTTCATACACGTCTTCCCCATCTATAATCCCATCACTTTCAGACTTTCCAGATGACCCTGTGTTCCCAATTTCGTATTTAATTCTATTCCAACTTACAGGTTGCACTTGTTTCGTGTGTGTCTTAACATTACTTACTAAACTAACATTTTTCAGTTGAGGATTATAGTGTATATTAGTATGCAGCAATGCCAGATGTACCCAGAAAGGTTCTGTAATAAAGTCTAGGAATATAACTTTTTAAAAGAGTTTTTTGTTCTCTAAGCTCATTATAGTCAAGAAAGAAACTAAAGCTTTCATAAATGCAAACTCCAAACCAGGAAATTCTTAATGATATTTGACTCATGGAATTGCCCCGGAAATACAGAAAGCAGCCTCAGAAAATGGAGAAAACAAACCAAAGCGGCACATGTTGGATCTCCGGCAAAACTCTGCCACAGGACCACTGATGCCTACAGTACCGCTACCAGTGCTTGACACTGCATCATACATCATCTTCCTGTACTGCTGTTGACACTGATGTCACTGAGTCCAAGGTGCCATCTCTGTCTTCACTTCTGCAGTGCCTGTGAAATCTTCCATATCATTACTGCCATAAAAATGTCCCCACGGTACATTTTTCTGTGTTGTTTGTCCTGGGTTTACAACTGGAGAATTTGCCTGCCTGGCCCATCCAACCCGGTATTATGAAGATTCCTAACATAGAGAATGTTTTAAATATATGAAGAACCTGTTGATGCTGATCAGTGGAGGGGTGCAGCACGGTGGAATGGGGAGAAAGAGAAAAAATCTCTATGACCATCTACCTGTTTGGCTGTCCATCCGTGACCGCACCTTTCTGTATGGCCCTTGCATCCTCTATGTGGAGTATAGTTCAGCTATGTCTTACATATCTGAATATACAAACTACAGCTTTTGAAAGAATAAAACTTAGTATCGACTCATTATTTGTACAACACAAAATCTAATTGGTCTTATTTTTCTTACAAGTCTCAGTTATACATTAAATTGAGACTGTTGCTATATTTATTAATGAAAGAATTCAAATACATTAAAGCCTTCAAGCCACAAATTCTAAAATTTTGTCTATAAATAAAACACCAAAATGATCCACATCTAGTCTAATCCCTTGAATGCTAAAATCTTAACCTTAACATTCCCTGTCACATGCTAGTACCACCTAAAAATGACAGCTACAGCTCTACAAACCTACTGATGGGTAAAAGGAAGAAGAGTAGTGAAAAATCCTCTTTATGGTCAGAACTCCCAATGTGACTGACCTTTGGTTATCTACTGTGTCGGGAAAGAGAAATGATCAGAAATACAGGTCTATATTAATTCACAAGTAGTTGCAAATGCAGTCAACAGTTGGCTGGCCAAGGATTTGGATTGAGCAGTATCACAACATTGAATGATTAATAATAGAAAGTATAAAGAAGTTTGTGGGTGGACTCTTCAGAATGATCAGAGATTTTTGTGAATATAAAACATCTACCAAAAGACCAATACTGCAGAAATAACTTTTAACGATCATGTAGACAAGTGTAGGTACTTGGTGTCAGCCTTTCCTGCCAGCCATCATATCCTTTTCATACCAGGTATGTGACAGTAAGGTGTGCATTTATTCAGCAGAGTTAAGCTGATGAGTGCTTCCATTGCATACCTATGCCAACGACAGCACAGCCCAACAGTGAGCACTCAATATAGTGAAAAACCTCCTTTGACCTCATGGATTGGGTAGAGACTTTTCCTCACTAAAACACACATATTCTCGATATGCTGTTATCTTCCTTGCCACTAGTATTTGCCAACACCACTACCTATAGAGTCATAGAATGTATTGTTCACAATTGTGGCATTCCATAAGCATTACATCTGGTCAAGAAACACTTTTTATAGCAAAGAAAGAATTCATAGGCTCACATGTATGAAGCCACATCTTATCATGCATTCTGTAACCTGGAAGTAGGTGGACTGGCTGCCTGAAGAATGTTAAAGTACCATTTGGGAGATAACAACCTGAAGTTAGGGGATTCTGCCTCAGAGGAAGCAGTGTATGGTTTGCATCACAGTTTTTTAAATGATGTTTGTCTACCTCCATAAATAGGAAAAACGGGCTCAGGATAAGAGTGACATTGCTCACTTCCAGAATAACCCACTTGCATAATTTTTACTTTCCATTCTCTCACTTTTGACCCAGAAATGAATCAGATTTCTTTTGTTCTAAACTCATTGGTCACAACAGATCACTTGACTCCATTCAATCTAAAAGGGGTTGCAAAATACGGTTGTACTCTGTGTTCAATATACAGTGGTTCAAAAACTACTTGAATAGCACAAACAACAGTTGTAACTCTTAAACCATTAATTATGGGTGATTAACATGAGGCATGGACAGACTAAAGCAGAAACCATAACCTCTACCCTGTGGTTAATACTCAATTATCTACAAGTGGGCAGTTTTTTGCATGAAGTTGCTTACTGCCTTTGAGAACTCAGACATGCATTTCAAATTATTAGCTTCAGTTTTCTCATCGACAAAGTCAGATAATTAGTAGTAGATACTTCAAAGGTTTTAAGGATCAAAGAAACTAATATCCATGAAATAATTTGTAAACTAAATAGCTATATAAATCTTAATGATTTTATTACTATTACCATTAATATTATTAAGTAACAACGTATGGCTGTCTATGGCTGTCTATGGTTGTGTATGATTTCGCTTCGGGTCCTAAGCAATAAGATTGGAGTTAGTTCCTATAATGTTGTGTAATGCTTTGTAGCTTTGACTAGAATGTATGTTTTTAAAAAGGTTTCCCTTGATATTCTGGTGACCCTGGCAATTTTAAGGCCTCTATCATTTAATGAAACAAATAAATGATAAGAATTGAATTTAAATACTTTTTAAATACTGTATCTTGAACTCAAAAAATGTGAAGAAAAAAAATTCTCTAATCTAAAATGGCCTACTTTTCTCTTGAATAGGATATAATAATCCTGCTATCAAAAGCAAGAATGTAAGAATGATCACTAGTCAAAACAAAATGTAAATTTATTATATAACAAAACTGAAAGTATAGAGGGTAAATTTAGGGCAGAATATGTTCCTTGTTCAATGAATATGACCTAATTAGTTCTACAAGTGGGCTGATTTTAGAAGCTTCATGTTGCCAAGTTTGTTTCCAATATATCAATATTTTAACTGAAAACAAACTTTTAGTTGTTTATAAAGTTTCTTGGATCAACCATACTCTCCTTTAGTGGACAAATCCATAAGACAGACACTTGCTATCATGGAATTTTATTTAAGTAGTACCAGAAAAGCCAGAATTTGTCTGCAGTTCTTTGAAGATACTTGCCTATGAAAACTTTAGAAAGAGTTGTTTTTAGTAAACTGAAGTAGAAACTTTGGTGATAGCCTTAAGTGCTAGTGTTATAAAATATAGAGGAATTATATCATAAAAGCAAGACTAATGTTTATTTTCTTTTTCAAAATAATATTTTTGAGACAGACTCATATAGCACACAATCCGTCCATTTAAAATACATAAATCAGTGTTTTTTGCTTATTCACAGTGTTTTGAAACCATCAACAAAATCAATGTAGAACATTGTGATCATCTCCCCCAAAAAGCTCTGTTCCCTAGGCTCCAGACATTGGAGCCAATAACCTACTTTGTATCTCAATAGACTTTTTCCTGTTCTGCATATTTTTTTTTTTGTCTTTTTGTTTTTTATCGGTACCAGGGATCGAACTCACGACTACCTGCTTGCAAGGCAGGTGCTTATGCCACTGAGCTAAATCCCCAGCCCCTGTTCTGCATATTTCACATAGAATCTATAATGTATAATCTTTGAGACTAGCTTTTTGTACTTGGCATAATGTTT